CGCACGATCTCCGCAGAGGGTTCGCCGCGCTCAAGACAAATTCGCACGGCGCCACAGCGAGAGCGCTTCGACACGCACGATCTCCGCAGAGGGTTCGCCAAGGTCAAGACAAATTCGCACGGCGCCACAGCGAGAGCGCTTCGACACGCACGATCTCCGCAGAGGGTTCGCCAAGGTCAAGACAAATTCGCACGGCGCCACAGCGAGAGCGCTTCGACACGCACGATCTCCGCAGAGGGTTCGCCGGTCAAGACAAATTCGCACGGCGCCACAGCGAGAGCGCTTCGACACGCACGATCTCCGCAGAGGGTTCGCCTCGCTCAAGACAAATTCGCACGGCGCCACAGCGAGAGCGCTTCGACACGCACGATCTCCGCAGAGGGTTCGCCAAGACAAATTCGCACGGCGCCACAGCGAGAGCGCTTCGACACGCACGATCTCCGCAGAGGGTTCATCGGGCTCAAGACAAATTCGCACGGCGCCACAGCGAGAGCGCTTCGACACGCACGATCTCCGCAGAGGGGTGCGTTTCGTAAGCTCCCGTCGGGCCTACCCCCGCCATAAAAAGAAGAAGAATTAAGAGTCGAGATGTGAAGGTAGAACAGAAAAGTTAGCTTGTGTTTTTAGGATAGTGAAGTAACACCCGACAAATTAGCTTGTGCTTTTAGTAGAATGAGATAACAGCCGAAAAGTTGACATGAGAAGTTGGCAGGTGATTTAACTCTCAAAAAGTTGACATGAGAAGTAGGCAGGTGAAGTAACTCTCGACAAGTTGGCATGAGAAGTTGGCAGGTGAAGTTGGCAGCCGCTTTTAGAAGAAGAACCCTTCGCAATGCTTCCGGGAAAAACGCACTAGGAACATCCAGCAACCTTGCTAGATTGCGAAGACACATTGCTCTGTAGCTTATACCCAGTGGTGCACACGGTGCAGTTCCCTGAGATTCAACTGGCAGACTGGGTTCAATTTCAACCTGGAGGATCCTTGCGGGGAAACCACCATCTAAGATAAGGACCTTGCGGATTCAAGCACAACGGCAGCACATGTTCTGTGAAACTGGATTCTTCGTGTGTTTCTGGGCACCGCCGGACAAATTGTCAAGCACAACTACCACCGATGTTCGCTTTTTTCTTCTGGGGGGCTTCACTTTTCCCCAATCATACAACATGGTTTTCACCTCCCCCAAAACCAACTACTTCTTTGTTGAGGCACGGGGTTGGGGCGGCAGGCAACTCCTAAGGCACAGGCTGCAGCTGCAGCTCCAGCTCTTGCACCGCCGCGCGGAGCCTTTGGCTGCTGGCACGAAAATCCAACGAAAGCCACGGTTGTGCGTGGACGCTTGGGTGCTGCTGGTGTAGGTCAGGCAACCCGTAGTTGGTGGTTTGGGTTGGTGGTTTGGGGTTTGAACCACTAGTTCTTGGGCCTGCCCTTCAAATTATGTGTGCCCTTCAAATTATGCACAGATCCTATTCAGCTTCCTGCTGTTTTGGAGCGAATTGGTTTGGAAATTGGGGGGGGGGGCGGGTCCCATCTACCTCTACAAGAACTAGGGATTCAACTTCGAGTTACCTCACCTATATCAGCAGCAACCAAGCGTCAAGGGCACTCCTATGAGTGGGGAACAGAACAACTCCTTGGACATGGCTTCCATCCTACGCTCCGGCGACGAACCTCAGACGGCCACAACACGCCCGTTGCGCCGAACTGGCCCTGCCCATGCGGTCTCATTACTTGAGTGATGGCCCGAATGCACAGGATGTCGTCAATGCCGCTCACTTTGTTTTACTCCCAAAGTCTGCGGTGAGCGAGCCTTCGCCTTGCAAACTCTAAACATCACTTGCCGCTCTTGCGGAAAACACAAAAACTCACATGCCCAGTGGCCATGGGAAAAAGAGGGCATCCTTTTTTGGTTGGTTGACTTTAAAGGGGACCCCTTCCCAAAAGAAAGGAAAAAAGGGCACCGCTGGGCAACTGGGCAAAACAACTGCAACAGGTTCAGCTTGGTCGGAAATCACAGCATTTTGAAAAAAGGGCAGCAAGTTGGGCGGTGTCTTTTCTGCTGGTACGTTTTTTGGGGTTGTAGAAAGGAAAACCAAAAGGAAAGCCCTTGCGCTCCGATAACAAAAAAACAAACTGCCCTCGCCCTCGTCAATTTCGCACACTGAAAGCCTGGGCAATTGCTCAGGATGGCTCGCTTAAATCCTTCCCAGCCCGGTGACGGGAAATCAAGGGCACTCAATGAACGGAACCCCCACCCCCCCCCCCCCCCCCAAAAAAAAAACCCCCCAAAAAAAAACGGGCGCGGGCGGGGGGGGGGGGAGCTGTTGGACATTTTGAGCGGGCCCCCCCCAAAAAAAACACAGCACAACGACAGACACCGGGGGGTCTGCCTTGGGGTTGTGGATCAACTTTGGCCCAGTTTCCCCGGCCTTTTGCGCTCCTCCTCCAGCTGACCGACCCGGTGCTCGAGCTGGCGATTGCAACCCGAGCTAAGTCGTAGACAGTTGAGCAACTGGGCGTGTCTTTCTTTGAGGGTATCGTTTTGGCGGTTGGTTTAAAAGGAAGCCAAAAGGAAAACCACAAAACCTGGGATTAAAATGGTCTACCCAGTCTCGTGTAAAGAATTGAGAAGGCGGCCGCTATTTATGGTTGGGATGGTCCCGTACTAACCTTCATCTAGCCGGGTTTTGATTGTGGCTCAAATGAAAGAAGGTTCCCGAGAAAAGGTGATCGATGGATTCCCAGTCAGGTTCCATGCTTTGGGAAGGTACCAGTCAAGGGTGTAGTGTTAGGCCGTTCCGCTCCCCGGACCAGCGCATGCCGGGCTCCCAAACGCATGGTGATTGCCTGGTGTTTGGGAAGCCAGCCAAGTTGAACGCACAACTTGCCACAGCCAAAAGAGTCTTTGCGTCGGTCGTCTTTGCGTCGGTCACAATGGGTACATACACCGCAAAGAGTACGTCAACGTTCGAGAAAGGATTTACTTTATGACAAGCCTTGTCTCACTCAACTGGCACTAGCGGCGCATACATCTAAGGCTGAGTCACAGTTGCTCGTGACTCAATACATTACTATAGCGACCCTTGCTGGCGCTCAAGCGATTCAGTGGATCTTTGTTCAAAAATACCAAGTGCCAAGCCGACTCCAAACCTTCCCTGCCTCTCCCTGTAGCTGCTCAACCTCCACATGCAAAGCCTGGCTGGATTGATTCTGATTTGGTGCGGTCACTGTACATGACGCAGGTCCAAAAGAACAACTCGACATCCCTGGAACAGGTTTAAGGAGATACGCAAGTATTGTTCTGCAAATTGTACACCATCCTGCGGCAAACCAATGCAAGGGGGGGCAGGGGGGGGAAGGGGGGGGGGCGGAAGATAGGGGCAGTACTGGAGGACTGAGTAGCACGTCAGTGCGGCTGACTTTTGACAGTTCATCAAGATACAAATCGAGACATCGCGGTTGATACGCGGGAAGTGGTCCAGCGTTGGGTTTCCTGTCGGCCTTCCTCAAAAACAATCCAAGCAGGGATCGGCGACACCCGGGACACCCGTATTTTGTTAGTTACACAGGGAGGCTTTAGTTACCCAACTCATCAGAAGCAGCCCCAATAACAACAAACACTTTCCCGCACATTGCTCTGAGAATCCTAACTTTAGAATTGCTCCCGTGCACATCAACGTGGAACTCAAACAACATATTTCCTCTGCAAAGGATGACTTTCTGGGTTCCATGTCAGTCTGCAGGCTAGTGTTTATCATTTCACCACCCCAGAACAAGGCCTCCCATTGACAACACCCTTGAAAGGTTAGGTTACACACACCCATTGTGAGGTCGGTGTAGTTTGCCCACAAGCAAAAATTGCTGCAGGTGTTTGGTCACAGGTCTCTTCCGGTCAATGCCCATTGTACACAGACCCCAGCTATCCCCAACTGCAACTACATTATTAGATGATTGCACAGAGTGTCTCCGTGCCAGCTTTGAGATCAGCCGAAAGGGTCATGGCGATAGGTCAAACCCCGTGATGCGCGTTGAGATGTTTTGCAAAGAAACGGATTGCTCCAAACACGCTGTTCAGCAGAAATAAGCTGCTCGAACAAAGAAGCAGCTGGGCCAACGTGGCGCCTTGTTCTCCATCTCCAGCGCATCTGCCTGGGAGTAGGGCTCCCCCTTTTTTTCTCGTAAGGCTCTACGAATGAAAGTCTTCCGAGAACATGCTTCCCACCATAGTTCCTTGCCAAGACATCATAGCGTCGCAGTAGGAACTGAACTGTAGACATCATCTAAACGTCTAAACTGAGTTGCAGATATCATCTGAACCTCTAAACTGTCAGCGCCATCCTGGTGAGTCCATGACCTGTTTGAGCAAATGCATCACCAACGGCCGTTCAGGCCCCGAGCTGTCAGCAGTTTCACGGTGCTTGGCCAAATAAAACATTACACACAGAAACAAAACAAGCATGGCATCCCAAACGCATCAGTCTGCAGAGTTACCTCCAGTAAAGCAGCCAAAAACAGACAACTGTGAGGCTTGCGAAACGCCGAAACAGCTTCTTTCGATTTGTAAGACGAGCGGAGTGGTCGACAAGCGCTGGTTTTAAAGCCCTTTGTGCGCCCGGAAGCTGTACATTCTGGAAGCAAAAAGGGCGAAGGGCCTTGCCCGGTCTGATGCAAGATGCGAGATGCATAATTCAGAGCTTACTAAAAACATGAAGAAACCGTGCATGCAATGCCGCAGACTTTCAATTGGCCAAATGCGATCAATGGAATCAACTCGCATCTTCAGTCACATGTGGCTGGCTGCTGGCATTGCTCAACTTCTTGCCAAATATAGAGCCTCTGCCAATTACAGTTGGCTGGCGTAAAGTCTACAGGGGGCTTGATGACGTACTGGACAGTCATTGTATTGTAGTGCGCGCTCGACAAGCAATTGGTTTGCTACGTTATACCCGGAATGCACACAGTCCGCAAGCAAGACCGCCGCGAATTTAACAACGCTCCCTTGCTAGGAAGTCGGATTCGTGTAACCAAAAGCCTTTCCGTTCGGAGGTGCGGGCTCAGGCTGGTCCGGCAGCGGTTTCAGCACGTCTTCGGCATGCCGGTCGGCCATTTCCAGGAAATCTTGCAGCTGCTGCACAAGTCCCGGACATTGCGCGTCCACGTCGCGATCGCTGAATTCCGTGGCCAAGTCCTTCAACCGCTGCAAGGCAGCGGTCACACTGGCCTTGTACTCCGGATAGAATGGGTCATCTGGAGCAACAGGAGTTCGTAGCATCAAATACCTGAGCGCGAAATGCACTGCCACAACCGCCGTGCATCCCAGCACAAGCAGGCTTGTGCTGACCAAGTGAACCGCAGCCGGGCTCTTCCCAGCTGGGTGAACATGGCCGAATCGAGCAAGCATGCTGTGGTAGCAAGTCAAACCTCACTTGTCATAGGCAACGCTTGGTACTCTGCTGGGCGCTCGCCAGTATTGTATGTAGCAATGTTCAAATTGGCAATGTGCATTTGCCGTGCTTCCGGTGTCTGCTAGTATCGTCGTTAAGATTTGTTTAATGTGCGAAATTACAATGCAACGTCCAGTAGAACTCAATGGCTATGCACTCAGCAAACCGAAGGCCATCCCCACCTGAACCAACTCATTTTTACGGCCAGGTGTAAGATGATCATACCCCGTCCAGCGAATCAGCACAACACCCCAGCGGTCCCACAAAAAGACGATCCACCGACACATGCCTGAGGCGACCTCCTGCCCTCTTTGTGTGGAGCTGGGTATTTGCAAGATCGCTGCCAAGCATCCGCCGGCAACTCTCCACGTAGCGCTGCAGGGCAACACCTGCCCGGCATCATACGGAATGAGCTTGAAGCAAGATTAAGAATGACACCAAGGACCTTGTACAATTCCTGCCCAGGTTTCCAGCCAGCCCCTCTATCATTGGCAGTAAGGTTGTACTGAACCGAGCCATGTATAGCTGCCGCTGGGTTACTTGGCCAAACTACCGTTAGGGAACCAATAAGCATCCTGGGCCGCATGGAGACAGCACCTGGGCTTTCCCCATAGCTCTGCCCGTGCACGCAAGTGGAGCCAATCACTAGCACCCTACGCAAAACTAAATGAACAATTGTCCACCTACAAATATTGGGGAGGCAGGGAGGGTGTTGCATCAGAGGTAGTAAATTATTATCACCTGGCTGTTTATTTCTTCAATTGCTTGGAGGCAAACGCTGGTCAACAAACCGATTCTCAGGCACCGCCTTTCTGAATAGCACCGTCCAGCTCGCCGGCATCAGCGGTGACCCGCACGTCGTGGCAACGCGCAACGCGCTGCCCGTTGGCCTGAGGCCGGCAGCGACTCCTCTCCAAGCTTCCTCCCAGTCTCCAATGGTACAAAGATGGATAACTTCAGCAGGAGTATGGAGAGCGTTGTGGCAGTTTCATTCCGGCTTCCTGTCTATGTCCATTGCGAGTGGGATGTGCGATCTTTCAACAGGGATCAGTTGGGGTCAATACCAGACCGGACCGCTAACGACCATTCCTTTAGGTCGGAATGTCTGCTTCTGGGCTCCCGAAGCCAATGGACGGCAATGCTACAACTGCTGCTCTCAACCCGTAGCCACCTTCTATGGAAAGGCAGCTCAAAACGTGGCAAGGTGAGCGGTGGCGACTCCATTCGGGGCATGGATTTGCGACCTGTAAGCACCTGAACATGAAGATACTCTCCAGGGGCAAGCCAAAAACGTGAGTTATAGACAAACCCCAATCCTGAATGCCCACGTTCCCAAAGGATTTCATCTTATAGGGGACCCCCGAAATTGTGTTTTCCCTCCAGTTTAGTTTCAACCCAACCCCAAAAAGGGTGCCCTCAAAGAAGACGCACCCATCTGCCAATCTGCCTCATAGCGCAAAGTGAGTCGCACCAGCCCCGAGCTCGCGCCCTTGAGGCGAAGAAGTATCCTCAGCTTGGAATGCTTAAAACGGGGCACGGGCGCGCGGGGGGTGGAGGTGGATAGGTGGTCGCCGGCAACTTTTGGCAGACTGCTGGGGGCAAGGCGTCCACACGCAGAAGAATAACAACCAAGAAATGCCCAAACAAGTATTTCAGGTCTGTGTGTGTCTGCTTGGATTTACATATGTGGGTATGTTTTTTGAGGGTATGTACCGCGCGACGCGCCACAGTCTTGTTACGGAGGTCCGCAACATGGGTCCTGTTTACGCTGGTCTGTAACAGGAAAGCAGAGTAAGCGCAGCACGCAAAGCACACCTCCGCAGCAGATCCAGCGAGAAATTTGCAACTGCTCGAAGCCAGACAAGCGCCGGCCAAAAGGCGGATCACTGGCCCTGGTAACGGCTATGCAACGAGGTCTGTAACGAGGCATAGCAAAGCGCAGACGCGAAGCGCGCCTGCCCAGCTCCAGCTTGAGAGTTCAGCTATTGAGCGCAAGCCAGGCGGCGCGAGAAAGCGGGGTCGCTGGCCTGGGCTGGGTGGGGCTGGGTCTGTGCGAGCTTTGTAACGGCCATGTAACTAGGTCTGAAACGAGGCGTAGCAAAGTGCAGCACGCAAACGCGCCTCCGCAGCTCCAGCTTGATTGCGGCTACTCACCCCAAGCCAGGCGGCGGTAAAAAGGGGGGCATGCATGTTCATGGAACGGGGTGTAACGAAAGTGTTTAACGAAAGGTTGTAACGAGCCAGCGGGTCTTGTCACAGAGGTCTGTAACGAGGTGTGTAACAAATGTCCGCCGTGGCTCTGTTGCAGAGCCCTCAGAAAAGTCCCCGGCCATGTGAGCGTAGGTCGGTTGTGAATCACTCTCAGGCTTAGCCTAGATTCATTTTACATCATGATTCATCCAACATCCAGCAGCAATGTGCAACAACATATTCAACGCAACACACACACACACCTAACCAGCCAAAGGAATTTAAGAGACAAAATGCAGCTCCCAACAAGATTACTCGCCTGAAGTTGAATTAAGCACGAGTTGTTGCGCGTCAATGGGTGTTCGTTGCGTGATTGTCCAAGAACAGAACTCACTTGTGGCCATCACCTGAAGTGCACTATGACAAGCCAAACAACAATGTTGCACATTCAAACAACACATATTCATTAAAGTTCTTCAAGCATAGTGAGTTTGGTGTATTTGATACCCGATCACCAAATCTCTGCTTTGAACCCACAAAAACAAACAACAAAGCGGGGAGCGTCCTCTGCCGGTCACGCCGCTTCGAGCCACGTGTCAGTCCGCCGTCCACCGCGCCGTCACTTTGCACGCCGCTGGGAAAGACCGTGTCCACACGCGTGATGCTTCGCACGCCGCAGGACAGGAATCCACAAACGCCTGGGCAAGCGCGGGGGCGGCGAGGAGGGGAAGGAGTGGGGGGAGGGGGGGGGTGACTTCTTCCCAGAATTGGATAAAGGGGGTGACTTCTTCTCTAAGGGGAACCAACTCAAAAAACTGCCATCAAAAGGATAAGGGCGTGTACGCAACTTTTTTGGACACACACACACGCACATGTGGTTTTGCAGACAGGGGAAGCTTTCATCAAGTGTTTCACACCTCCAAAGTCAGGGTATCCTTTAATTTTGCCAAGCCAGGCGTTTGCATCTTGTCTCGAACGCCATTGCTCAGGTCACTGTTGGCCTTTTCGGGTTCAACAGGGATCCTTACATTATACACCTGATCATTGCCTTGTAAATTGTGATTTCCATTTATTTTGGTGTAAAAAGCCATGTTTCAAATGGGCAAAATGTATCTGTTGAGGAGCCCTGTGCAAGAAATTGCCTTTGTTAAACCTAAACTGCAAAGTCCCTCTGCAAAGGGGCCTGCACAGAAGTGCTTCTCGTAGCCAAACATAATTCTGCAATTCCCGAAGCAAAGAAGGAAAGCAACAAATCAAGCCAGCCAGCCAGCCAACCAGCAAACAAATCAACCAGCCAAGAAAGCCAGCCAGACAACCAAGCAAGCAAGAAAGCAAGCACACAAATCAAAACAACACAAACCCCAACCAAACAAGCAACCACCAGCACACACACACAAACCAAACAGCAACCAGCCAAGCAGTCAACCAACCAACCAACCGACCAACCAACCGACCAACCGACCCACCAGCCAACCAGCCAACCAGCCAACCAGCCAGCCAGCCAGCCAGCCAGCCAGCCCAGCCAGCCAGCCAGCCAGCCAGCCAGCCAGCCAGCCAGCCAGCCAGCCAGCCAGCCAGCCAGCCAGCAAGCAGCCAGCCAAGCATGCAAGCAGGCAAGCCAAGCATCCAAGCAAGCAAGCCAAGCATCCAAGCAAGAAAACAAGTTCTTGAGTGCTTGCTTTCTTGCCTGCCTGCCTGCATGCCTGCCTGCCTGCCTGGTTGGTTGGTTGGTTGGCTGGCTGGTTGGTTGGTGTGGTGTTTTTGGCTTGGTTGTGTTTGCGTTATTGGTTTGTTGGCTTGTTTTTCTTTGTTGATCTGTTGGTTGGGTTTGTGTTTCTTGTTTGTGTGTGTGTTTGTTCCAAACCAGCAAGCAAGCCAATAGGCAAACACGTAACAAGCAAACGCACGCACACACCAGCTCAGACATGCACGCGAAGGCGGAACCCTTTCTTTGTTTCGTAAGTTGCACCAAAGTGCAATAAGAACCAGTAGTGACCATGCCTCATAAGCCAACAACATAGTGACCATGCCTCATAAGCCAACAACAGCACGTGGACAGTAGAAATCACTCACTTGTGCCTCCAAGACTCTTTGCAAAGCAGGCATTGGCAAAGCCAGGGGGTGTCTGCGAAGACACAGCAGCAGGGTCTTCACCCGAGCCTTGAAGTCGGCAGGATAGAATCGATGTGCATCGGGCCTGCAGGAGACCCATGACTGTTCAAGGTGAAATTCAATCAAGGTGTGCCTATTCTGCTGTTAACTATATGGGCTCCAACAGTTGGCAAATTACAAAGAGGGTCCTTTCTGGATCCAATCTGCCAGGGCATCAACTCCTGATATCTGTTCTCATGGTTAGCTTGTCTTGGCAAATTCCTTGGCAGTCCTTGGCGCAGGGTCGGAACATAGATATAAATTCAGCGACAACAAACCTCCAACAGGATCCGCCCCTCTGCCAAGAAAGCTAGCGGTAAGTCAGATTCCCTGTCGCTGGAAGCCTCGGACGTGGCTGCTTTGCACCGCTTGTTTCGCCTGTCTTCAGGACTCCAGGAGGCCAAACGCAAAAGAAACAACTGGGAAACAGAAGGCTTTCCCTTCGGGGACAAGGGAAAATGGGCCTGCCATAGACTAGCGGGACTCATATTCATTACCACCTGAAACACATGTGTCAAACGTGTGCCACACCCTCTCCCTAGCTTTTATCCGCAGAGTTCAACTGAACTGCGGGGTCACAAGCATTCTTGAGCGCTCCCATCATCTTCACATGCAGCAATCATGCACCGACATCACCGGCACTAATTATATAAGTCATGAGGACCATCCCGCGTTCCTTTGGTTGGTACCAAATGACTTGTAACACGGGAAACATGAGCTTTGCGTTGGATCTGTCTGGTCTCTTGAATGAAAGCGGAACCATTTTGCGGGAAGCCAGTAATCTGACACTGGCCTTACCATCCGCATTCCAAGTGGGTGTGGCTCAAATTTAAAGAGCTGGGGCAAACCGCAGGGTTTAGTTCCAGATACCAGGATACCAGTTTAGCACATTTGTGTGAGCAGCCAAGTATCACAGCAGACCTGCAAAACTTCCAGTGTCGCAAGAAAAACACACTCTCAGGGACAAAGCCTAAAGTGGCAACGGTTAACTTTTGGTGGAGTATGTTCCTGGCCTTTTGCTAATATCAAGACAACCTGCTGGAAAAACGCAAGCGTCTTGCACAAAACAGCTGTGTGCTGGGCCCCACTGACAGAAACTCTTTCTAAACAAACTCTCAATGCCGGCTCCCAAAAGCATCTGGTGGCAAGTCATACAGGATTCCATGATTGGTGCAGTGGGGATACAAGGATCCCGATGCCTGGCAAGTTGACATGACAAGCTCACTACCCTTGATAGGTCAATTTCGGCAGATTTGGGGATACGCTCGCTACTTCTCACTTATCCGCCGACCCCTTTCTCCAAAGGGGAGGCGCATGGGAAGGGCTTGTATTCGTCCTTGTCTTCGTGATGTTTATCAGCACCACTGATGTTGGGTGATGGGTTCGCAGCATCCGGGTCATCAGCATTCTACGTTTCAAGCTTGCCGTTCAACCCGGCTTGGAATGCAGTGATGCATTTTAGTCATGATTGTTATGACAGCTGCTGCTCATGCAGGGGATGCATAGTGATGATTGCCATCAGGATTTCATCACGGTAACTGCTGGTGATGCTGGAGATGCGTAGTGATAATCATCAGGATCATCATGATCATCATGAGCGATGCTGCATCTGATCATCATCATCACTCTTCTCATCATCATCATGATGGTCATCATCATCTCTTTCTTGTTCTTATATGCATTTCAAAAGTAACGTTAGATGCATTGGCAATGCAGAGGATGCTACGATGATAGTTATCATCACAGTCCTCATCCTTATCATCATTATCATCATGGTCATCATCATCATCTCTTACTAGCCGCAGCATCCGGATCATCAGCATTCTACGTTTCAAGCTTGCCGTTCAACCCGGCTTGGAATGCAGTGATGCATTTTAGTCATGATTGATATGACAGCTGCTGCGCATGCAGGGGATGCATAGTGATGATTGTCATCAGGATATCATCACGGTAACTGCTGGTGATGCTGGAGATGCGTAGTGATGATCATCAGGATCATCATGATCATCATGAGCGATGCTGCATCTGATCATCATCATCATCACTCGATGATGATGACTCATCATGATGATGATCCTGATGATGACTGATGGTCATCATCATCTCTTTCTTGTTCTTATATGCATTTCAAAAGTAACGTTAGACAGCACTGGCAATGCAGAGGATGCCTCGATGATGAGAAGAGTGATGATGATGATGATCATGATGAGGAAGATCCTGTAACGTTAGACAGCATTGGCAATGCAAAGGATGCTACGATGAGAGTTTTCATCACAGGCCTCATCCTTATCATCATTGTCATCACGGTCATCATCATCTCTCATTAGGGAGCACTGGTGATGCAAGGGATGCTACGATGATAGTTATCATCACAGTCATCATCAGGATCTTCCTCATCATCATGATGATCATCATCATCATCATCACTCTTCTCATCACCATCCTGATGGTCATCATCATCTCTTTCTTGTTCTTATATGCATTTCAAAAGTAACGTTAGACAGCATTGGCAATGCAAAGGATGCTACGATGAGAGTTTTCATCACAGGCCTCATCCTTATCATCATTGTCATCACGGTCATCATCATCTCTCATTAGGGAGCACTGGTGATGCAAGGGATGCTACGATGATAGTTATCATCACAGTCATCATCAGGATCTTCCTCATCATCATCATGATGATGGTCGTCATCATCATCATCATCACTCTTCTCATCACCATCCTGATGGTCATCATCATCTCTTTCTTGTTCTTATATGCATTTCAAAAGTAACGTTAGACAGCATTGGCAATGCAGAGGATTCTACGATGATAATTATCATCGACGTCGTCCATCATCATCCAGGGGGGTGGGGTCTGATCATGACTCAAGTACGCAGGGTTGAAGTTTACAGTGAAACCAAAAAACAAGACCAAAATTTGACCGGGGCGAAAATTTAACATTTCACCCAAAAGAAACCAAAGAAACCAAAACCAAGGGCACTGTTTTCTTTTGCTCGAAAACCACAACTAAATCCGGGGGTCGGCGGCACTGGGCGGCAGCCCTTAAATAACTTACACTCACTTGCCCACAGGACCTAGAAATACAAGGTTGCCCTTTTGGGACCCGTACTCAAAGTGGACCACACATGGAAAACAAAAAGCTTAAAAGGTCGATTCGCTTTGAACAACTGAGTAAACTGAATCGGCGTCCCATGTGATGGACCCGGTCGGACTTTCTCGGATCCCGGCATCCAGTCCGACTCCAGCAACTCTTCCCGGAGGTCGAAGGGAGTGCCATAGACCGAGGCCAGCTGGAAGCTGTCGCTCTGGTGCGTCAACTCCACCTCAAACATGAGAGTCTCACTGTACATTTATTGAGGGACCCTTTGGTGACCTTGATGGACCTCATGGTGGGGATTCATGTCCTCCAGCCGCTTTGGAGGTGGTCCAACTCTTGAAATTCGGAGCTTCACTGCGAAGATACAACCGCCACCGCTTGGACCAGCACCCTGCTTCCAACTTGGCATGCCTCAAAAGGTCCCATTGTTGCTTGCCTACAAAGGGTGGTGTGATGTAATTAGCCCTCGTCAGCAAAAATATATAGCTGAGCCTCATTGATTGATTGATTGATTGATTGATTGATTGATTGATTGATTGATTGATTGATTGATTGACTCATTCAAACTGCCACTCCAGCAACCATCAGCCAACCAACGACCAAACTGCAGGCTACCAAAGTACTAAAATATCAAAGCATGCATCTACCGACCAAGGGCAGTGATGGAAACACAACAAGCAACCGCTTTGGAATATCCCACGAAGCACTGAGCTAGGCACGTCAAAGGCAGCCGGGAAGAAGTTCCAGTCAAAGTTGTCCACGATGGTCTTCTGGAGTTCCTTCTGGGTGAATTATAATATTTCACCAACCTGAAAAAAGGTAGTTGGGGGGCTATTCCCCACACAAACCACCATTTGGGGTGAGGCCCAGTTCCTTCCCAAAGAAAGCAAGGCACGCCAATCAAGAGCCACCAGTATTCTGACAACCTACAACTTTCTGTCAACCGCGGAGTCGCCAGGCAAAGAGGGAACTGGTTCAGGCCGTCTTTTTGGCACGGCATAGTTTCCAATTGCTAGCGCCGGCATCTCTAAACGTCGGCTCAAGCCGTCGACAATGCGCAGTGCTTTGGGCACTGCTGTGTCCCATGCATCAAAATCCACTCTCCCCAAGCACGGCGCTATTCCATCCGTTCAACTCCACCCCAAGCACAGTTTTGTGCAAGAATCTTACCCTCTCAACCCCCAGCCCCCCCCCCCCCCCCCCCCCCCTGAACCCCCAGCCTCTTGGCGTGTGATGCAGAAATAGTTGGCGCCCTGGTGCTTGGTCACCTCCTCCGCCAGGCGAGCATTGAAGCGCATGCCGATGCCAACAAAGGACACCTGATTCGCGCACCAAAATGTCTGCGTGACCAGAGACCTCACTTGAGTGGATTGGTTGAAAAAAGCTCAAGCTTCTTATTTACCACAAAATGGTCTTCCCTAAAAGTGTTCAAAGTCCAGGAACTCAGTGAATGAGTGACTGTGACCCTCTCATCGTTTCATGCTGTCTGTTTCCGTTTGTGGTTCTCACGAATCATTACAGGGATGCTGAGTGTATGATATCTTGTCATGCTCTGATGACGGCCTCCAATGACCTTGTCATAGCCCGACTGCAACATGTTTATGGCATTGGGTGGCGCGAGTGTAACAGACTCCTGATCTCATGACAACGCTCGAATACGCTCGCAGAACAATCCTTGGTATTGCTTGTATGACATGAGCAAGATCCTGAATCAACTTTGGCACAAGCTGTTCGTACCCCGCCCCCCAAGTATCCCCAGGCCGACTATCGATTGGCCGGTTAAGAGCCAAGGAGCATAGAGGCCGTGCTGGGCCTCAGTGGCAACCATGGAATCCAGCTGGCCGGGTGCGATGGCATTGTCCTCCATGTCAGTGAGGAACAACCTGGCGGGAGCTTTGGCGTGAGCTTTGGATCTGAACTCGGGAGTGCAAAGCGGAGCTACACTCGGGAGTACCTTGGGGAAACGATGTGTAGTATCGCCCGGTAGGAAACCCTTGGACGAGAGTTTCTATTCCAGGTGGGTGTGACAATCCTGAAGCGGGAGCTGGCGTTGTTTGTCTTCCTGCACATTGGCTGGAGGTGCTTCGCCTTGCAGCAGGCTGTTGAAACTAGGGAGTTGTGGAGGCTTTTCAAGGTGAATCCCAACCGAATTTAACAGCACATGCTGTCAGTATATGCACATTCTGTGCAAGGTCAGCACAAACTTTCGGCCTCAAGCATCATCTGCGGTAGCAGGATTGAGTGAATGGCTAGTGCTCGGCGCATTCTAAAGCCTGCAACAAGCAATCCTGTAGGTGGGCACAAGCGCCAAAGTCGGGACATGTTGCTGCCACTCTGGGCCAAAGCAGAATGCACACGGACAGAAACCAGCGCGCGCTTGGTAAACACTTGCATGTTCAGGGAAAATCGATGGAAGGCCCGGGCTACCTGCGCAAGACAAACGCTTCACTTGCCCAAAAACAATTGGCCCTGCACGTTCCCGCCAAAAACAAGTCTTTCTTTGGAGTAGATGTGAGCTGTTTGTCCCACTATGAGGTCGTTGTAAATCGAGCAGATAATGCTTAATCATGGCTATAGCGAGCAAGCAACATGTGATTCATCAAGGCTGCTGCAAAGGGGTGTTCCCGTCGCCGGCATGCCGTTGCCATTCATCCCCGCCACATCTAAATGCAACTGAGGAGCAGTCGTTGTTCGCGTTCACCGCTGCGTCCATCTCCCAGCACCTAGACAGGGATGCTCAGCGAGCACTGGCAAAGCACGGTTCTGCTGATGTCATGAACCACTGCTTTCACCAAGGAATACATGAACACCTCTAGCCGCAAACGAGCGTTGCCTGAGAACAAGCAGCAATCAAGCATCAAGTCAATGCTATGTGCCCGAGCAATCCATCTTGGGCAGTTTCTGAACGCCTGATATGTGTTGTTGTCCGGCAGCTTCACAGTGCATGTATCTGTGGCAGTTCCCCCAAACACAATGACAATGCCTAATCCATCTGGGATCTCTGTCTCGAGCAAGGTGCAGCAATGCCAAAGACAAAACCGAAGAGATAACGATGTATTGGCAAGGTTGACCCCGCCACACCGGGCCCCAAACAAAGTCATATGTACGCAAGCTCATATCAATTCATTCTTAGTAAAGTGCCTTGTCATTGTTCAACAGCAAGCCATGGTGAATCAAAATGACCCTATAGTCTAGTAGCCAACATTAAGCTGTGGCAAGAGAAACTAAACACAATCTTCTCACAAAAGGTAACCCTTCTATGTGTGTTTTCTTGAGGCTCACCACTGAATTCACTGGGAGTAACGACGGGCAAAACTCTAGTCTCTTCCTGAATCCGGGCAGATGATGTTTCAGTGTTCCCAAGAGAGTCAAAGTCAAACAATTGGGGACGGTCCCTTCCACCTCAACTTGGCCGATGTGAAAAGGGCAAAGGTCATGGGGCCAGTTGGTGGGAAAGAAAACTGGACAAAGTCAGCGACATTTTGGCCTCCATTCTACAGGCACATTTGAGTGGGGTGCGGTCGACGCAAAGAAAATAGACAGACAAACAAACAGGGAGACGGACGGACGGACCAACAGACAGACCCACAGACAAGCAAGCAGACACACAAGGCAACGAAACACAGACAAGTAGGTAGGTGAACAGACAAACAAACAAACAAACAAGCAAGCAAGCAAGCAAACAAACAACCCGCCGGGTCGTTTTCCGTTGGTCATGTTTGGCAGGAATTTGCGTTTGGCCTAGCGTTTGCACCCACTTTCAACGGCGAAAAGGGCTTCCTGCACCCGGTCGTTTCGGTGCCACCAATAATTGAAAACATTGGCAGGCGTGGGTCATCACGCACCTTGGCTTTGTTTTTCTTTTTTTTGTTGTTTCCTTTGAAACCTTTCTTGAATGTCGCACAATGGTTTTGCGTGGGAATTCTCAATGTTTTTGGCCGCGCCCGTCCTCAGTGATCAAAACACACATGTTTCTGGAGACCCAACATATTTCGTGTTTTGTGGGTTTGGCACCCCGGATTGCTGAATATCCCATAGGGTCCCGCGTAGGCTCTGAGACCGTACATGGGACTTCCGTGCATGCTGGGCACAAGTTGGAGGCCATGTCCATGCTGAGAAGCTTTGCCCTGGGGGGGGGGGGTTAAAGGGAGTAGGGGTGATCAAGGCAAATGCTCCCAGCCAGCTCCCGCGGCCATTTCCCTCAAGAGAGCGCCCGGTTGGTTCAAACCGGCCCCGCGCTCAGTCCGACAGATCGTCAAAGTCCATTGCCCCCCGTGTGCGCCTAGCAAGCCTCAGGGTTTCAACTCCGAAGCTGGTGCAAGAACTTGTGTCAAGCTAAACTAATATCACGCAAAGGCTCCCCAGATAGCTGCGCATCAGAACTGTTTGTTCAAGCACCTTCCTGTGACAAGAGCTTGCAAGGCCTCAGTTTGCTCATGAATACCCGCAACTATGTACGGTGGAGCATCCAGTGCCCTCATTTTTTTGGAAGCCATGCGGCCAGACACCTTGCCCACGTAATCCTCTGTGCGAAATGCGTGGTAAAATCGGCAGCACAATCCTTACAATGGCGAATTGTGGATCGGTACCAGTTCTCGAGCGTGGCCAACATCCCTCAAGCGTTGAACATCTAAGTTCATGTTAAGCGTCGCTCTTTGCGCTGCCATATGTTGAGCTCCTGCCAGCCCTGCTAGCGATAAGGGAGAACTCTAATTATGCACAAATGCCAGCCCTCAAACAGCTCGACTCAATCTGGGCTAGCCAAGCGACGTGAAACTTGGGTCTCACCGGGTACCGGAATTGTTTGGCACGTACGGAGTATTCAGCGAGGGCCATGTAGTTAGCAATGCATCCATCCTAACACCCATGCGTGCGAAGTGGGACCATTATGCTGAATACGGCATTCTTGCTGCTATGGGGCACACAGTCTCTGCATGTGGGAGGCCTCTGCCTCAGTCAGGTAGAGATGCGCCGACTCGCACACAGCGTACCACGTTGCCAGGTGCCACCTCGAATTGGGGGGGCGGGGTGGAGAAGGGTGTGCGAGCAAGTGAAGATTCACCTAAATTTGGGCTTAGCCACAGTGCAGAAGCCATCAGTGCCAAATGTTGGTCTGCTGGCCCCTTCTCTTTGCAAAGCTCCACCGTGAATTCGGACAACCAAGCCGTGACAACCCGGGCCTGATATCGCACACTCAATCAAGAAGCGTATTCCAAATTTGCAAATATTGAATGTTCACCCGGCTCATTGCCATCAAGGGGCATTCCATGCTTTTGCGTGTAGCAAAGGATACTGTGAGTTACAATCGCGAATCTTTGCCTCTGTGAATTTGGGCTGCGATTGCCTTGCAAACCGTCGTGCATGCATGAAGTCCAACAAGGATTAAAGCTCAATTCTGTTTGTGGGGTCAAACTGCAGCAGAAGAGCACAATCTTCTTGGAACGGCACCAGCTCGTGTAGCTCTGATATGCAATATCCAAGCGGTCGTTAGGGTTGAGGTCAGACCCACCCCAAATAGTGGGCTGGGTTTCCAAGAGTTCATCAAATATCGATCCCAGTAGCAGCACGCTCACTCCTAGATTCACCGTGTGCATAGAGCACCACTTGACCATCTGGGGCGAGAACCGGGGTAGGTCCAGCAAAGGGCCTGAGTCATGCTTGCAACAACCCTTTCAATCCAAACGCTGATTAGTCTCTTTTTCCCACCTGAGCCAGGTAGCTATGTGGCCTCTTGCAGCTGGTCTTCTTGAAGCTCTCCAAGTCTTCTTGCCGGGGGCACTCAGCAGCCAGCTGGGATGAAGAGAGGATGTAGGAGGACTTCTCTGCATCACAATGATGGCATATGAACTGGGAGCGCCAAAAACGCGCCAAGTTGAGCCATTCCTTAATCCATCCATCACTTGTGGGAAACTCTTGTTCCAAAAGTAAAGGGTTGATGTGCGGCAGCTAGGAATTGGAGGCAAGACACTTTTTGGAACTTCCAATCCCCTTGAATGTGGCAAATCATTGCCTCAATGGAGCCATG